ACTAGAATTCTCTTTAGAGGGTATGACTCTATGCTGTACTGGATTACTATTATTATTGTGCTGCAATGTATCGTATACAGTTCCTGATTGTGCATTGAGAGTAGAATAATAGCTTCCATTCCTATCAACATTGTGATCTGTTTGATGTCCATTAGCTGACACACAAGACACTTTATCATACACTCCTCTCTCACTGTTATCCTTAAAGCGACGTACCTCTGTGTAAATAGGTGGGGGAACTACTGCTGGAGGAGTATTAGGAGGAGGATCATCTCTCACTACACCATTCAATGGAATCTAAAATTTATTATAAGTTATGCTTTCATTAAAATGATAAAGTTTATCTTACCATATTTGGTCCAGTGGAATAAATGTTACTAGTAGTCACTTCCATTCTTCCTCTTCTCTTTTTAAATCGAACTGTTGCTGCTACCACTACAATTACTATAACAACTACAATGTACATATTAATGACAACATTTGATTATAATGTACATACCAATTATTATAATTAGTAGTGCAATTGATATCCCAGAAGCGAGTCCAATAATTGATGAAGAAGAAGATATGGATGAAGGAGCTGTCAATGAAGGACTTGGGGATGACGAAAGTAGAGATGATAATGAAGAAAGAGCAATGGATGAAGAAGTTAGGGATGAATGTGCTATAACAAATGAGGATGAAGCAGTTGAAGTACCTATATATACAATAAAGTACATTATAACTACACAAGTGAACATACACTGTACCTGTCACTAATGTGCTAGTTAATCTAGTGGTATTAATAAAAGTAGGGCTATTGATGGTAGGAGTATCTGTGATATTGTTTATGATGGTACTGCTTGTAATATGTTGTACTGTTGAAGTAGTTGATACTGATGAAGGAAATGTTCTAAATTCAGATGCTATTGATGGAGTTGGTAAAAACAAAGTAGACACCATTGTTGGTAAAAATGTCATTGATGAAGTAATTGAAGTAGATGATGAAGTAGTTGAAACTGACAAAGTAGTTATTACTGGTGAAGTAGATGGTACAGACATCATTGATGGAGTAGTCAATACTGTTGATGTGAGTGATACTGATGATGAATGAACTGATGACATTAGAACTGAAGATGTAAAGTCATTAGTAATATTAATACCAGTTATTACAGCAGGAGGATTAGATGTACAGATCCAAAAGGTTGCCCATTCACATGCATACAGTGTTAAGTTATTACCAGCTGGTATGTTAGTAATACACTGAGTAAAGTTCAACTGATCATTAGGAGATATATTGAAACTGGTAATATAGCCTACGTCATCAGCAAGCAGAATTACATCAATATAAGGTGTACTGCCACTGACATACTGAAACTGAAGACAAACAGAATTTGATGTGATATTAATCAATGTGAATTCCTGAAGATCATGAGTACCTTATAATAAGTAAATATCATAATGTATTAATTGTGTATTACTTACTGATTGTTATAGTGTTGCTTTGAACTGTAACTCCATTTTGATAGTACAAGGTAGCATTAGTATTCAGTGTCTTATTTGATGGAAATTGAACAACAAGTGAAATGTTATTATAAGAACTATTGCTTATGGATACATTTGTTGTTAAATAACAGTTATCCTTAGTGCATCCTTTCAATGTAATGTTCATTAGTGGTAGTACATTAGTACAAGACTGATGAACCTAAAAAGAATACATAGCCATGTTGTTTTAAGCAGGTAATCACAACACAGTAAACACATCATGGGATATCATTATTAAGTACAATATAGACTATACATTATAATACATGGTACATTTATTACACATTACCTATAATACATTATAATACTATAGTCTGTCTATCATCATTTAACACTTCTATTCTCTATTACTATAAAGTTATCATAGCTGGCTATGATTAATCCTATTAGGGAACTTACAGATACAATGAAATGAAAAGTCCAATTTACATTCTCTCTTTCCTTATCAGTTACATATAACTGTACATCTACTGTATAGAATAATCAATTTAGGCTCTCAATAAGTATAATTACTTACTTGTTGATTGAAATCCAACAGTTATGTTACTGGTAGATCCATTCCCAGCTTTATTAGTAGTTGTAATGTTAAACAGATATTGTTTATTGGTTGGGTTCATTGGACAGTAAGTGTAGTTAGTGATAGAGTCATTAAGGTACTGTTGATCAGTTCCTACACTGATTATATACTGTACTGTTAGTCCTGGTAGTGTGAATGGAGGATACCAACTGATAAACATACAACAAGAATCTAACTGATATCCTGTTAAATTACTGACACTATCAGGTGGACCTGGGAATGATAACAAAAATTGTTCAATTGACTAGCTGATACAAATGATGTACAAGTAAAAGTGTAACAACAATGCAGACTAAACGAATGCTTGAGTACAGTCACTTCATTAATCAATGTTATACTGACCTTGTACATATAGATATGCTGGTTCAGTGGTAGTAGCTTCATCGGGTACTCTACAGGTAACTTCTGTACCATTTACTTCACTTGTTGCTGTTAGGGTAAGTGATGCCATTCCACCAGAGGATAATACTGAACCATCAACTGATGGAGTAGTCACAAAAGAGGGAATTGGTTGAGTCACATTAATACCACATTCAAATGTCACATTATCATTGGCATATACATATTGTGTCACTGGTACAATAATGAAGGAGATACTGTCTACAGCTGAAACTATAAACAGTGTAAAAGAGTAAGTTTTAAAATTGCTTACCATGAGTAGTAAAGAAAAAAAG